TCCAAATGTAGGATATCATCGTTATTGGGCTGGAAGGGCTAGAAACTAAAGGCTCTGTCTTTTGAGCAAACTAGTGAACAATTAGTATATTGACTACCATGTGTTGAGCACTTGGGACTATTGCAGCTCTGGAGCAGAGGGTGAGATTAATTATACCCCTCAGAACACAGACTTCATCATTACAGATTCAGGAATTCATTTATTTGTTACCCCCTGCCTTACCCTCATCCCCCATTCCCACACTCCTACCCTCAAACACCTACTCTACTAAGCTCGATGTGTTTTTTTCTATATGTATTTTTATTGTGATAAAATATATAACATAAGATAAAACTACATTTAACCATTTTAAAATGTAGTTTTGTGACATCAAATACATTCGTATGATTGCACAGTTATCACCACCATCCATCTCCAGAACTTACTCATCTCCCCATCTGAAACTCCATACCCATTAAACATTCAGTCCCCATGTGCCCTCCCCTAGCCCAGGGCAACCACCGTTCTGCTTTCTGTCTCTGTGAATCTGACTATTCTGAGTACGTGATATAAATGGGATATACAGTATTTTGGGTGTTTGTTGTTGTTGTTTTTTTTTTTTTTGGTGCTGGCTTATTTCACTTAGCACAGTATCTTCAAGATTCATCCATGGATAGCGTGTGACAGGACTTCCTTCTTTTTCAGGTCCAATAACACCCCACTGAATGTATATACAACATTTTGTTTATATATCCACCCATCAGTAGACACTTGGGTTGCCTCTGCCTTTTGGCTATCCTGAACAATGCTGCTATGAACATGGGTGTACAAACATCTGAGTCCTTGCTTTTGCTTCTTTTTGGTATATACACAGAAGCAGAGTTGCTGGATCAAGTGGTATTCCAATGTTTAATTTTTGAAGAATCACCACAGTGCTTTCCACAGTGGCTGCCTCATTTTACACTCCCACCAGCAAAGCACAGAGACTCCAGTTTCTCCATATCCTCACCAACACTTGTTACTTTCAGTTATCTTGATAATAGCCATACTTACTGGGTGTGAAGTGGTTCGATGTGTTTCTTTTTGTACAACTTGTTTCAAAATGTATGTAGTTGTTTCACCATATATGTAATTTTTACTCAAGCAGCATTATATTATTTACTTCATTCTTTGGGAACTATTTTCAGTTAGGATCCACCCACTCGTTGTGCTTCTAACTTCTGCACCGTACCCTGTGGTGAGCATCAACCATATCCATGTATACTGAAAACATGCTATGTGCTTGTGGCAAACTTGCCACATGCATTATTTGATTACTGACAGCAACCCTAAGAAGCAGGCATTGTTATTATTTCCATTATATGGGTGAAGAAACGGACACACAGAGTTAAGGAACTGGCCCCCAAGCCTCACAGCTGGAAGTGATAGAGCTAGAAATTTAACCCAGGTCTGTCTGGTGCCTTGGGGAGCTCATGTATTTAAGGTGCTACAAAGAGCTACAGAAAGAGGCCTGATGGAAGACCGGAGGCTCACTCTCAGGTGAGGGCACTCTGAGGAGAGTTCTAGTCCTGACTAGATCCTGACTTATCTCCATACTGAAAGTCACCTTCCTTCATAGCATAGCACTTAATGTCTGTGTCAAATGAGAACAGAACAATTTTAATGTTCTTTCTAGATTTACCACCTGTTGATGGAACACCCTTTAGCTAAAGGAAAAATAATCGGAATTAAAATCAGGTGTGTGTTTCCTGCCAGTATTCCACCTGGGAGCCACTCCAAACACATGAAAACCCTTTGGCGAGTCCATTTACACGGTTCCTTCCTGATAGGACTAACTATTCCCAGGGAAACAGAGTTGCTCCCTCTGGTCCCAGCCCACCTCTCTTGAACTTTGCACTTACTATGATGAAAAATTAACTGGGCTAACGTTTCCCTTCCAAAGACAACCTCCGCAAAAGCTGGCCTGGCCGGCCCCAGGAGACCAAGCACCAGAACAGAGTTCCCATCCGTCTGGAGCCGCCTACCCATTCCCGGCCCGAGTCAAGGGAGCACACGGGGTCCCCTTGGCACCCGGAGGACTCCGTCCCTCAGTTCTCCTCGTGGCTGGGTGAAACTGGGCTTGTTCCTCAGTTCTTCCAGTGGAGAACTGAGGCCAGAGGAGAGAGAATTGACCCAGAAATGGCACTTGTTGGACTCACACATGGGTCCAGCTCTGTTTTTCTGCATGTACAGCTGTCCCTCTCACATGGATGCCAGCATGCAAAGTAACTTCAGGAGAGCATGGTTAGTCAACACTAACTAACTGCTGACTAGTTATCTCCTCCCCTCAGGAAAGTGAGAGGCTAAATAAGGGGCGCTTTGGATGTCATGACGTTTGAGGGTTAGGTATATGCGAGGCCCTTCTGCTACATTTAATCCCATGATCTCCCTTAGGCTCCTTGCCTCCACAGTGCAAATTGCCTCCCTTCGCCAGGCATTGCTTCTGCCTGTGTAAAACAAGGGGCTTACATTGGACAAGAACAACTTTAATGCTGTTGCTAGATTCACCGCTCTGCACAATAATAACTGTTTACCCCATTCTCACAGCTGAGAGAACAGATGCTCGGCGGGGTGAAGGGAGGAAGAGAGCCGGGACTGAAATCCACGTCAGTCATCAGTGGAGCTGGAGGTCCTTCCGCTTTGACCACCTCTCAACAGCTGGACCTGCTTGATTTGATTCAGGGTAAAATTAATGTTTTCCTGGGAGATGAGGTGATAACTGCACGGACCTCTTTCTCCCAGGCACACACCTCCCACCCCTTTGAGTGAGCTCCGGGAGGTCCGGCACCGGCAGCGTTCATTTCAGTGGTCCCGGGAATGAGTGCGTGTCTAACTGAACGGAGCCCCTGCACCTGCCCCACTCTCCTCCGCCTTCGTAGTGGCCCCAAGGTGTGGTTCTCCTGCTTTACAGCATCTGACTTGTTTGCAGACCTTTTCGCGTTAGATTCCCTACCACCATTTCACAGGTGAGCAAATATTTCTTGTAGTGTCACACAGCACGCCTGTGTAAAGAACTTTAGTTTTGCAGAAAGCTCTGTGAACGTCACCTGCTTTCCACAGCTGTAAGGCTGGGTGCAGTGGCAAAGCGCTCCGTTCAGATCCCAGCTCTGCCACTTGGGATCCTGAGTATTGTAATCTCTGTAAACGGGAGGCGTAGGGATAGCTACCTCCAGAGCCATTTTGACGATTAAATCAGAGGGCTGCACTTGGGCTTCCTGGAATGAAGAAAGGCATCAATCTGCTGATTGTCTTCCTTCCTTCGCTTTTGTGTTGAGAGCTGGGAAGAAGGGAGTGAAACCTAAGGCTGCGAGGCTTCGGGAGGACCCGCCAAGAATGGGAACCAGGTCCTTAAGCCCCAGTTGGGGTTCAGGGATTCTCCTTTAAGATCCGTGCCGTGGGGGGAGGGGGGCTTAGAAGGAGGGGAGGGCAAAGAGCCAGTGCTCCGCAGCAGCAGCTTGTGGGAGGCCGTTCTTTCTGACAAGGCAGGGGACCCCTGCAGCTTCTAGGCTGACTTTGTGGATTCAGGCCTACCTCACAGGGCTTTGTAACTCCCCGTGCAGGAAGGTTGGCAGATAACTTCTTTCTCACAACGGGGATTTCCCGCTGTTAAAAACAAACAAAGGCCTCAGACACCAGGCTACAGGCCTGGTTGGGGAGGAGCACCAGGGGAAAGGCCCTGGGGGCCTGGGGTAACTAACCCCTGAAAGCAGTTAAAGGCTTTGTGGGCAGATGTCCCTCAATTCTGCTGGTGGAGAGAAAAACCCCAGAGCTCTCTAAACCTAAGGCTAGCTTTTGAATACATGAATTACCCCCCAAGTATTCCCCCGTTGCCTCACTGTGTGCGAGTTCACAGCTTTGGAAACAAAGCTTTCCCTCCTATATGTTGGGTGTCGAATTTCAGATCTTTTTGTATCGTAAGATTCCAAACACCTTGTAATGTAATTTCCTCCCGAAGATAAATTGTAAAGCGCCCCCATTCATTCTTTCATGAATTCAACAGATGTCTTTGATGCCCATTTTCTACCGGGCACTCATTAGCAAGGCCCAAGGAACTCTTAGCTTCAGCTATTATCTAGGGAGTCAGTGAGGTTCCCAAATGTCCACTTTTGGGAGCCCACTTCTCCCCGCCCCCAACTCCATCGTTAGCACAGTCTCGGGGCTTTCAGCCGGTGTGATCTCAGCAAAGAGAATAAAAACAGCCCCGGGGTTTCGGGCTCGTGCCAAGCCCCTGATTGGGATGAGCGCACGCGCGCGTCTAAGTGCGCGACCCGACTTCCTGGGCCTCAGCCTTCCGTGCGCCCTCTCTCGGACCCGGGTCCTCCCTGGGGTGCACGGCCGGCCTTTGGCCGGATGGCGCTCATAGGCTGCCAAGCTAACCCTTTCGGGCTCGCAACTCCAACGCAGCTTCCTGAGGGTGGATTCCGCGGCCGGAGGGCCCCTCTCACCTCTTCTGCCTCTCCTTTCCCACGACTTCCTCCCGGCGCCCCCGGGACTCAGGTCGTGGCCGCGCGCGGGGCCCTGCGCGCTCCAGCCCGGGCTGCCACTGTCCCCGTTCGCCCACGTGGGCGTGCTCCGCGCCGGGCGAGGGAGGCCGGGCGCCCTCCGGGAGGCTGGGGGCGGGCAGGGCGCCCAGGGGAGGAGGTGGTGGGACGCGGGGGCGGAGGCGGGGAGCCCCGGCGGCAAGGGGGCGGTGACAGCGCTTGGAAAGGAGGCTGCACGCGGATTTGCATGAAACGCAGACTGGGAGCGGGCGGGAGCGGGAGCGCGGCGCACGGCCCAGGCCGGCCCAGAGAGCAAGCAAGCAAGCAAGCCGTGAAGGAGGAGGGTGGGTAGGGGCGAGGCTGCCGAGGCGGAGGGATCTGCGCATCAAAGCGATCGAGGCAAGCAAAGTTTGGCTGGGGGTTGGACTTTCCTTCCTGGAGGCGGCACCCAAACAGCCACCCGGTGCGGAAACCCAAACTTTCTTCTGCCACTCTGAGGCTCGCGGCCGCCGCCTCCGCCCCGCGTTCGGGGCCTGCCTGACCCAGTGCCGCTGTCGTCTGCCCGCTCGCCTCCCCCACCGCCCTTCTCTCTGCCGTTAGAGCCCCGTAGGCTGCAGCGCCGCGGCCCGGCCCGGAGCACGGGCAAGTTCGCCGAGAGTTGAAGCAAAGAAGTTTGGGCAGCCCCGGCCCAGCTCCTCTTTGCGCCCCCGGCGTCCCGCCCGTGCCCAGCCCCGCCGGGGGCGTCCCTCGGCGCCCGTGCGCCCTCCCCAGCCATGTCGTCCATCCTGCCCTTCACCCCCCCAATCGTGAAGCGCCTGCTGGGCTGGAAGAAGGGCGAGCAGAACGGGCAGGAGGAGAAGTGGTGTGAGAAGGCGGTCAAGAGTTTGGTCAAGAAGCTCAAGAAGACGGGGCAACTGGACGAGCTGGAGAAGGCCATCACCACGCAGAACGTCAACACCAAGTGCATCACTATCCCCAGGTGGGGGCCCGAGCGACCCCGGGGACGCGCCGGCCCAGCCCCCTGGTGCCGCGGCCGGCCGGGTGGGGTTGGATCGGGAGAGATAGCGTGTGTGCGTGTGTGTCTGTGTGTAAAGGGTGGGGGTGGGAGAGCGGTCAGAAAGGGGATCCCAAACAAAACCTCTGGATTTGCAAAGATTCAGAGCCTGGGGCTTCCACGCGGCACTCTCACTTCCAGACCTCACACTCGCTTTTCACCTCCCGGAAAGGGGGGCGCTGCTGGAATTGGCCGCCCCCACTCCGGGGAGCTGCGGACTCAAAGTTGAGGCCCGCTTTGTTCAGCTCCGCGGGCCGGAGCCCCTCCTCCGCCGCCGCCTCCCGCCCCCGCGGCCCGCGCTCGTGGAGGTGGTGGTGTCTCTCCCTTTCTTTTCTTCAGCCCTGTCCCCCCACGTCTTTCCTCCTCAACAGGAATGCAGTCGGTACAGCTGGGGCTGTGGGTGAGGAGCGGGAGCCTTGTGATTGACAGATTCCTTCTTCGTTCTCTCTTTGCCTTCGGGATTAGCATTTTTATCGAGTATTTTTAGACTTGGTTGTGCCAGTCTCCCGCCCCCCTCTGCACACACTCACTTTGGTCGCAGTGCAATGCTCAGACTTTCAAATGAGAGGCAAGCGGCAGAGAGTACGATTTTCAACCCCCCCACCCCCGCCCCCAACCGTTTTTTGCCCTGTTTTGAGTCTGAGATTTCGGGTTGATGCAGAACAGAGGAGGCTTAGAGCCGACCAGATAACAAAACGCACCCCAAAGCGGGCCTCGCAGTGGCTCTCACATTCCTGCAGAGCCCTCCTTCCCAAAGAGCTTTGCCATCTGTCTGGACCTCCTTTATAAGCCACACCGCACTGGCTGGGTCGGGGCGGGGGGGAGCTCACAGATGGTTGATAGAAGGGGTCAGTGACTTCTCTCCAATCCCCAGGACCTTCTCTTAGTTTAGCTGCTCTTTGCCTCGCTGGAAATTGGGGTGTGCGTTGTGGGGGGGGGGGCGCCTTGATCTCTTGTCTCTGCCTCTCAGCCTCCTCTAAAGTCTGACTCTGTACCAAGCGAGTGCATGTTGGGGGGCATGTCTTTGGGGTCCTGGGCTGCAGAGGAATGTGCAGAGGGTCCCCAAGGGCTTGAGCCCCGCAGAGATTGCCATCCTTGCTCCTGGGCCAGGAGTGGACTCCATCCTTGGCCACCTGCTTGGAGCAGCTGTACAAGGGCTGCCAGCCCTGTCAGGCAGGCACAAAGCAACATCTGTCCTGGGAACCCAGGGCAGCCTCCTCTGGAAATAAATGCCACATATGGTGGGAGCACTGACTTAAAAAATAATAATTTTTTTAAACTGGGTGGGTCCAGTCAATAAAGGGGGAGGGAAGGCGGTGTGCTGTCTGGGAAGTGCGCTCTGGGCGTGTGATCTGGAGCCAGAACTGACTTCAGAGGAGGTGGTGTGATGTGATGGTCAGTGAGCGCTGGGTTCTGGTCCCAACTCTGTTCTTAATTCTCCTTTATTCTTTCGGTGGGGTGGGGCGGGTGAGTGGGGTGAGTGGGGTGAGTGAGTGTCCTCCTCCCCCCTCCTGAGGAGGGGTTTTTGAAACCTGCCCTCTTAGCTGCCCAGGTGCATTGAGGACAAGTGGTTTATGTCTTGAAACAAAACAAACAAAAAAAAGATATCAATTATAAAATGAGCAGCTGTGTGAAGTGTTTTACAGTTTACAGAGCACTTTCACATGGTTTTATGAAATTAAGAAAGAAAATCCTGGAAAACAGATAAGGCAGTTAGGCTTAAGATTTATCTCATTTTTAAAGTTGAGAAAACATCAGAGGGGAGAGGTGAAAAGGCTGGCTGCAGTAGACATGGGATTCTGACCCAGCGCGCTCCTTTTCCTGCCCCCTGCTGCTGTTTACTTTGAAGGTTCTGAATACATTCTTTGTTGAATGCTAAAGCACTGTTAACTAGTGGGGGGCGGGCAGGGGGTGGAGGGCAGTGTGGATCTTTGTCGGTGAGGTTGCTAATGTTCAATCTGTGAGCTGGTGACAGCCTGGAGGAGAGAGGCCTTGCTTCCCCTGCCTTCGTAGAAGTTTGCCCACATAGGATGAACATAGCTGTGGCCTGCTTTTTCCTCTGCCAACGTTCTCTGCAGCCTGAGGCATATGAAGCTTTGAATGTTTCTGAAAGTTCAAGGTAACTTGCTCCCTGGTCTCTCAACATTGGTAGGACTGGTTCATCTTCTACTTGCCTGGCAAGGACCTACTGATAAGGCAGATCTCTTTTTTAACATCTTTTCTCAGTTAGGGAAACTCAGTTGCTTGGGTGGATCCAGACAAAGTGGATTTCCATCCCTGGATTTTGTGCCCACGCCTCTGGGTCACCTTGTCTCCCTTGGCAACAGCTGCTGCTGTTTTGGTCTCAGGCAGACAACTAAAGGCCACGTCTTGGGGAGGTGGTTAGCTGGCCTCATGTTAGTGATATCGGTGTGTCTGCTATGCCCCATAGATTGTTGTGTTGCTTGTCAAATTGTCTGCTTTTTCCATACTGCCTTTTTATAAGTTATCCTACTGTGTGTGACGGTTGGGACACTGGGTGCTTAAAAGTGCTCTGTGAGATCTGGACCTTGGGGTTTAAGGAGCCCTCAGTCCAAGGAGATTTTAACAAGCGTTTTGGCTAATATGTACCCATGAGCAGCAACAGTAACATTTGGGAATTGTAGCTGCCTATCAGGGCCTTCCAGACCACACACTGGCTTCTCTGTTACAACAGCTCTAACCTGTCTCAGTGATCAGAAGAGCTGGAGTGGCACAGGCTTATTGACAGCAAAAATGTCAGAGAGACTGATGCCAAGGAAGTGGTGAGAGATTGACTGAGATACACCAATACAGGGGCTATCAGGATACGCTGAGGTCCAGCAGGATGGGCAGAACATAGATAAGTTGTAGAGAGGAATCTCACTAATTGCCTGCGTAAGTACGCGAGTAAAGCTGCAGGTATCTTCCTGGCCATTTTATAAGAATGCAGTTGGCATTTGCCCTGAGGAATAGAGAAGGTATGTGCGTGTCACGTCAGCAGTCAGGAGCCAGGTGCACTTAAACTGACTGTTCTGATGGACTCGGATAACTTGTGCCTCCACTGATAGGATCCATGCCTTGGCACAGTTGTTGGAAGCTGGACTAAGCTTATGGCCTGGTTTTTTTTTGGAAGGGAAGTTGGGCTTTCTTGTGTCAAAGCGCCAACTCCAGAGGCAAGTGGGGGGATTTTCTGATATACACCAACTCCTACCTCTTCGCGCTTCTCTTTAGCGGAGTCCTCCTGTTACCTACCTGGACTTTGCCAGGCTACTCTCACCCCAGGGAAAAGGGTAAAAGATTCTCATCTGTAACACGCCTTTCTCAGACTTCCGGGGACAGACCTATGGCCCAGGCTGCTTGTTAACCTTGATTAGGAGAGTTGCACACAGGGGCTGGGAAGAGGAGGGGTCCCCAGGACAATGAGTAGCTGACTGTGGGGCTGGCTTGGAGCCACAGCTGAACCCAGCATCAGCTTGACATCCCCTTGACATTTGGAACCCTGGAACTTGCTGTTGTACCAGGGGTTGAATGTTGGGACCAATGCACGTTGCAGACAGCCCCTTGCTCACAGTTCTTAATTAAATGTTAGAATTGGAGTTTGTTGATTCATTGTTATTTATTGGCCCTGTCATATCTGAGTCAGTATTCCAGGCAGTGGGGGAGGATGCGGAGCTAAATTTGAGATGGCCCCTGCCTGTCAGGAGCTTACACTTCAGCAAGGGAAACATTAGTAGGGCATTATTGGAGTATCTAACTGCTATTTCTTTCTTTGTTCCAGCCATCAAAAGAAATAGAAACTTTAGTATGGAGTGGAATTTTTTTTTTTTGAGTGGGGGGGCAACCTATGATGAGTCTTTTAAATACTGTGAAGTCACTGTGTTAGAAAACAAAATAATGTTAGCTATCTCTTTTCTCTGGATCTTGCTATTTTAATACCTGGGTGGATTAAAGAGTTCACTGAATATCTCAGAGCCTTCATGTCTGCACCTGTAAAGTCAGAATGAGATAAGACTCGTGGAAGTGTTTGTAAGCCAGAGACTTTGACAGACGTAAGTGTTATACGTAACCCTCTCTGTGTATCATTCATTCATTACTAAATTATTTAATCATTTATTAAATGCCTACTATGCTGAGTAAGGTAGAGCACCTGTTCTAAGGAGCTCCTGGTCTAGAGTGGGAGACAGACTAGCCCAAAGATACAGGGCAGGAGCTGGAGCTGAGGGATGTACAGAGTGCAGAGGCTTGGGGGGCAGACCCTAACTCTGTGGCAGGAGGTGGGGAGAGGAGGAAGGGGTCCATGTGAGCTGGAATGCCGCAGGAGTGAGGAGCCCCCAGCCGAAGGAGGTTTCTGGGCTGCGGGATGATCATGAGCACTTTCGGTATGTGGTGATAGTTGCCTACCAGAATGAGGCAATGGCGTCTTTACCTTCAGCCTTTTGCTAAACAGAGCACAGCTATGAATGTGTTACTGCGTAGCTTGCGCCAAAGGGCTAGTGACCCTTGAGCAGTATTTTACTCCACAGTCAAGTGTTCTCCCTTTGAAGTAAAAAAGTAATTTAGTACTGCAAACCTGAAATTCAGGTTTCTTTGGTGGGAGCAGTGACTTTAGATAGATGAACTCAGAATATAACAGAGTGTCAATAAAAAATGGACAACTTGGAGATGACTGTGGGTGTTCAGCACTTCAGAGTTTTGGAGAGACCTTTTTCATTTCTCTGCTTAACCCTTGCTGAAAACACATTCTTTAAGCCTGCATTTTTGTGTGGACATAAGAACTTTTAATAATGTATTTTGAAAAGTCTTCACAGGAAATAAAGTTTAAAATGACAATTCCAATAATAGGGAAAAAGTCAGTGAATACAGTAGTCATTTGGCTGTGATGGGAAACGCAAGAAGATGATGAAATTAAGAGAATTTGGCTCAAG